GGTCCATAACTCATTCGAGTCACGATTACTCAGTTAAGCAGTTAAAACGCAAAGTACCAAATTTTCTTTACATCTTGTGAATTAATCTTAAAGGAAGTTAGGATCCTTAAGACTTCAAGTCGAAGTGAGAGCCAAGTTTTCCTTTGCATTAACAAAAACTTGTGTGTGTAGAAGATCTAAAATAACAAAAAATATAATTGTTGGCATGTTTATGTTAATAAATTGCTTTCTTAAAAAAGCGATTTGGGGATGCAAACAAAATCGAAGAATGATACAAAGAAACGTAAAATCATATGGCACTAGAATCATTGAAGCATCTAGAAGAGATAGAAGGGCAAAGAGCCAGAATGTGTGAAAACTCCACTTAACTAAGAATTATTTTGAATCCATGAAAAAGATATTGGAAAACTACCTAGAAATTAACTTGAAAACTATATGCAAAATGGGTTCCAATTTGAAAAAATGCTGCAAATTGCAAAATGCAATCTTTCTTCAAACATCTGGAAAAAATTGATTTTTCCCTTGGAAAATGTTGGGTGTTTTTACATAAAATTTCAGGAAAGTTTATGGTTCTGCGCTGTTTTTTAGTGCAAAAATTGACTCAAACATGCAATCGCCTTTTTCTTCGTATCTCAAGAACCATTTGAGCTGCGGAGCTTGTTTTCTTAGGATTGAATAGCAAACAAACAAAAAGCGAAATTTAATTATCACACATTGGGATACAAGATAAGGTTAAAATTTCATGGATTCAGTCACTTTTTTGCTCATATATAACAAATTGAGCGATTAAGTTCTCATTGTGACACCATTAAATAGAGAACTAAATGGCACTTTTATGTAGATAGTAAAGCATCTCTTGAAAAATTGTTGGCGGCATTTACAGAAAAAAGCACAATTTCAAGAAATTTATAGATTTCAAGGGGTACGGTCGGATCTAAAGAACCATGTGAGCTACAGAACCCGTTTTCTTCAATAGAAAATTGCAAATTCGTTTCATTAGGGGTAACGTGAGTAAGTAAATAGTGGCAATTTTTACACAAAAAGCTAAACTTTATTACCTCACATTTAGGTCCAAGATAATGCCAAAATTCAATGTAATGTACCACTTTTGCAAATCTTTAGGAGCAAGATAAAGTCCCAATTTCGTGCATTATTCCATAATTTTTCATTTCTCTTTTCACGAAAAGGCAAAGTTGAAAAAAAGATATTAATTTTGCATGCAGCCACAAACTAAAATGCAGTAAACCGAACGGTCTCAATTAATTTAGCTAATAATTAACGCTCCAATCCATCTTCCTCAATATACCAAAGAGTCAGTTTCCTTCACTAAAACGAACGTTTGAAAAAAAATAAACAGCGATTCGGAAACCGTTTAGATTTAATAATGCAAAAAGCTTTCAAAGGCATTTCATCGAAAACCGTCCTTCTCGCAACGGCGCACAAACTCTAATAAAAACATTAAACGCAATTCCGGAGCAAAAAGTAAGTAGAGCGTTATTTAAGAAGATTGAAAAATAGAGGCAGAATAATTTTTGGGGATCTGTCTGCTTCGAGGGTGGATTACTTACACCAGATGGCTTCAGCAGCTTTAATAACGTTTTTTTCTGGACGAAAATAAAAAAGTCTAGTGGAGGCTATTTGTACATGCCCTTAGTATAATATTAAATGTCGATTTTCTGATATCCCGGCTCTTGAATAATTTTTCTTCAATCACTTGTGTGGGGTCCAAAAATCCCACCTGTTTACTTGAGCAAAGCGAGTGGAAATGTAATTTAAACTTCAAGAGTTTTACCGTCACCGTACGGATAGAAATCGCGTTTAATTCTATGGTCTCTCCATGAATAATTTGTGACAGTTTTCCACCCGAAAGTTTCGGCAACTTCCTGCGGGCGTAGAACTCGCTCTCGCACTCTCCTATAATTAATTATACCTTAGTGGAAAAGACCATTCATGCGACGAACAAAAAGATGAAAACAATAAAGTTCATTTTGTGTAAAACGGGTTGATGAAGAATGCGCCCGGGCGACAGATAGGCTTGCAACACCGAAGTTTCCATCCTCCGTTTGACATGAATGCACTCAAACAATTCCCGGCCATTTATCAGCATTTACTCCGCAGAATTAGGGGAAATTATAGTCGAGGGCCTTGCCGAACAATCCATCCTCCAGACCAAGCAGCTGCACCATATCAAACTCAATAACAGCCGAAGAAGTGAACCTCCCATTAAGAAGCAATCAGCAGGAGAATGGCAAGCACGTTTCACTCAAAAAGGAATTCTTTTGAAAATTAACGCTATCTTCGGCAGACAAAGCCAAATTGAAAACTCATCGGGGCGAGAAACATTTTCACACTTGTCGAACTTCCAGCAAATAAAAGTCAGAAATTGAGCCAATACACAACATTTCCGGACGGAGTCTAGGAGCAGTTTGGAATTTGATGGAAATGATGGTTTATTAATATTAATATTTAGTGAAATGCCATTCAATTGTGAGCACGTCGACCGCATTTAAACCAACCACCAAATTCGGACCGGAAAGTCCCGTAAATTTTCGTCTGAATTCCTAATTTTCCTGCAACTCGGATAGTTTAGACAACCGGATTAGACGTTTTGCTTTATTAGTGCGAATTAAAGTTGAGCGATGGTTCAGCGCATTCGGGGCGGAATCCAAATGAAGCCAACTTGCAGAACAGGAATGCGTGAGGAAAATATTTTTATTCCCATTAAAATGGGGTTTTCAGTCAGAAAGACGCGGATATTTTTTAAGACTTTTGAGTACGTAGTTTACAACTGGTTGGAAATTGCTTGCAACTCCAAATTCTCTTCACTTCGAATCGAAAATGTTGTCTATGAAATTAGAAACATTTTCGCTGGGAATTCGATTCAGTCACAACAAACAACATGAGTGAGGAAATTCGAGTAGTTTTGACCCAGAAACCAAGATGATGCCGAAATTTAATGTTTTCCGTGCCGTTTTTGCTCGTATCTCGTAAGAAAAATGAGCAAGAACGCTCATTTTTACAGAATTTTACAGAGAACTAAATGGC